TGGGTAAGAAAGAAAGGAAGGGCTGGCTATGCCTGAGGAGTTGCAGCCTTGTCAGCTGGGACTTGTCCACGTTAGGCCATACTGCACTGTGGCCAACCAGCAAGAGGCTTTCCTACACTGTGCTGAGCTGCAACAGATGCAAGGAAAAGCAGTGGCAGAGAGGTGGCTGCTGGGGTGGTGGCCAGGTCCTAGCACCAGCCCATCTCATGTCAGAGTCAAGCTGGGCCATTCTGGTTCCCGGCCACAAACCCCTGCTGACACTGGCTTAAACTTTTCATCCTTTTCACTTCACCAAATGGAAGTCACTGTTAGACTTTTTTCTTTTACAGATGAGGAAACCTCATCAGCCAAGTGCCCAGTGCAGGAAGAAAGACAGTTCGAAGTGAGCTTCCAGAATGAAAGATGAAGGTTTCAGGAGCGGCAGAGCCCCTTCATCACCCCAAGAAACAAGGAGTGTTGCCAGGCACAGTACTACACACCACTTACTTAAGAACAACTGTTCGGATGGCAACACGCATGGTCTGCAGTGTCATGGTCGGGGATCTCTGCACATCACAAGAGCAGGAAGATTTAACCTAACCCTGGAAAGGCAGGAGCCCCATCCCTTGCTGTTCTCATTCAAGAGTGAGCTCTCTGAAAGATGACATCTGCTTCATCTATCTCCACGAGGCCCACCGCCAAGTCCCGTTTAGTTCAACTCAAGAGTGCTACCTCAGCAGACCTCCGTTGCCAGCTTCAGCAATGCCCCTTGGTCTCCCATGGACTCATCTAATTCGCACAGAACTGAAAGTTTCAGTGTTAGTCTGAGGCAAAGCGGCACCAAGAGCCATCACTGCATGGGAGACCCATAATGAAGGCTCAAGCCTGACACCGAGCAACTGCTCATCCCTCAAGGCCAACTCGGGCTCTGCAGGACGACTGTTGGTGCCCTAGAGCAGCAGGGCCGAAAGGGGGCTGCATGGGGCGTCTCCCGTTGCCCTCGGGAGGCAGCCAGGAGTCCCCCCGAGGTGCGGAGCCCGGCCCGTGACTGCGAGGTCGGACCATCTGCTCCCGAGCGCGTTTCCCGCGCCGCTGCACCGTGGGGCTCCTCCTCCTGCGGCCTGGGCGGGCCGGGGGCGCCCGCCCAGCTCGCGGGCGCTCTTGTGTCCGGGCCGGGCCGCAGCCCGCAGAAGCGAGCGAAGCGGCCGGCCTAGCCCAACTGTCCTAACGGCCCCAACGGCCGTTCGAACGCGGCGCCGCCCCGCCCCGCCCCCCGCGGCCCGGCGGGACCCGCCTCCCAGGTGGACCCGCACGGCCCCGGGGCGGGGAGGAGAGCGGAGAAGCTGGGGCCGCACGCGCCGTTACCTTGGGCTTTTCCTCGGCCATGGCGG